TTTCCACACACACAAAGCTTATTTCTCTCATATTTTCTGCATACATTTGTTAACATCCCTGTTAGTGAGCATTTCTCTGTTGCAAAGATAATCCATTCACCTGAAAGCTGTGGGATATCAAGCAACTGATTAAACAGCATGATCATTACACAGCTGCACCTTGTGTTGGGAATAATAAAAGGCCACTAAAATGTGCAGTTTTGTCACACAACACAATGACACAGATGTTTTGAGGGAGCATACAATTGGCATGCTGACTACCAGAGATGTTGCAAGATAATTGAATGTTAATTTTTCTACCATAAGCCACCTCCAATGTCGTTTTATAGAATTTGGCAGTACGTTCAACCGGCCTAACAGCCGCAGACCATCTGTATGGCGTCATGTGGGCGAGCCGTTTGCTGAAATCAATGTTGTTAACAGAGTGCCCCATGGTGGCGGTGGGATTATGGTATGGGCAGGCATAAACTAGACAACGAAGATACACAATTGTCCCAGTTCTTCCATGGCCTGCATACTCACCAGACATGTCACCCATTGAGCATGTTTGGGATGCTCTGGATCGACGTGTATGACAGCGTGTTCCAGTTACTTCTAATATCCATAATTTCACCGAGCCATTCAACCGCCTTATCACCTATATGCGAAGGAGAGGTGTCTCGCTACATGAGGCAAATCGTAGTCACACCATATACTGCATGGTTTTCTGATCCACGCCCCTACCTTAATGTATCTGTCACCAACAAATGCATACCTGTATTCCCAGTCACGTGAAAGCCATTGAATGTATTTCAATTGACTAATTTCCTTATATGAACTGTAACTCAGTAAAATCTATGACATTGTTGCATATTGTTTATATTTTTGTTCAGTATAAATATGATATTGTCAAGTTAAAATGTAATTATTTTTGTATGGAGGGTAGGTCATTATAGACTATTGGCTACTTGCTCAGCCCTTAAATTAAAGATAACATTTAAATCATGCGCGCATCATCCGCTTTCCCGTACAATAATCATTTTCATTTGGGCCAGTAGCTTTCAGTTGGCACTGGCCCGGTGTTTCACTTGCAAATTTACCTGAATGTCAAGTCCTGCAAGGGCATGCTAAGTTAAAAGATTGCTGGTCATTATTAGCCTGGTTCTGTTTGGAATGCAGGTACATTATGGGACACAGGTCAGGTCATTATTCACTGATGCGACCAAATCATCTGCTGGTGCCATCAACTGAAAAAGACTGTAGCACCAGTGCCACCAGTAGAAAAAGTTAGCCTAGAACCCTGGTTAGTTCTCATAAGATTATATTATGTATATACAGTACCAATCAAAAGTTTAGACACACCTACTCATTCAAGGGTTTTTCTTTATTTTTACTATTTTCTACATTGTATAATAATAGTGAAGACATCAAAACTATGAAATAACACATATGGAATCAAGTAGTAACCAAAACAAGTGTTAAACAAATCAAAATATATTTTATATTTATAAACTTATGACTGGTAGTGTATGTATGTAAAGTATGTATGTATGTATGTATGTATATATACATACAGTGCCTTCGGAAAGTATTCAGACACCATGACTTTTCCCACATTTTGTTACGTTACAGCCTTATTCTAAAATGGATTAAATAAACAGACATTCCCAGCAATCTACACACAATACCCCAGAATGACAAAGTGAAACAAGGTTTAGACATTTTTGTTAATGTATTACAAATTAAACATAAATACCGTATTTACATAAGTATTCAGACCCTTTGCTATGAGACTCGAAAATTTAGCTCAGGTGCATCCTGTTTCCATTGATCATTTTTGAGATGTTTCTACAACTTTATTGGAGTCCACCTGTGATAAATTAAATTGATTGGACATGATTGGAAAGGCACATGCCTGTCTATATAAGGTCATACAGTTGACAGTGCATGTCAGAGCAAAAACCAAGCCATGAGGTCGAAGGAATTGTCCATAGAGCGTCGAGACAGGATTGTGTCGAGGCACAGATGTGGGGAAGGGTACCAAAACATTTCTGCAGCATTGAAGATCCCAAAGGACACAGTGGCCTCCATCATTCTTAAATGGAAGAAGTTTGGAACCACCAAGACCCTTCCTAGAGCTGGCACCCAAACTGAGCAATCGGGGGATAAGGGCCTTGGTCAGGGAGGTGGTCGATGGTCACTCTGACAGAGCTCTAGAGTTCCTCTGTGGAGATGGGAGAACCTTCCAGAAGGACAACCATCTCTGCAGTACTCCACCAATCAGGCCTTTATGGTAGGGTGGCCAGACGGAAGCCACTCCTCAGTAAAGGGCACATGACAGCCCGCTTGGAGTTTGCCAAAAGGCACCTAAAGACTCTCAGACCATAACAAACAAGATTCTCTGGTCTGATGAAACCAAGATTGAATTCTTTGGCCTGAATGTCAAGCGTCACGTCTGGAGGAAACCTGGCACCATCCCTACTGTAAAGCATGGTGGTGGCAGAATCATGCTGGTGGGATGTTTTTCAGCGGCAGAGACTGGGAGACTAGTCAGGATTGAGGCAAAGATAAACGGAGCAAAGTACAGAGAGATCCTTGATGAAAACCTGCTCCAGAGCTCTCAGGACCTCAGACTGGGGCGAAGGTTCACTTTCCAACAGGACAATGACCCTAAGCACACAGCCAAGACAACGCAGGAGTGGCTTCGGGACAAGTCTCTGAATGTCCTTAAGTGGCCCAGCCAGAGCCCAGACTTAAACCTGATCGAACATCTCTGTAGAGACCTAAAAATAGCTGTGCAGCGACGCTCCCCATCCAACCTGACAGAGCTTAAGAGGATCTGCAGAGATGAATGGGAGAAACTCCCCAAATACAGCTGTGCCAAGCTTGTAGTGTCATACCCAAGAAGACTCGAGACTGTAATCGCTGCCAAAGGTGCTTCAACAAAGTACTGAGTAAAGGGTCTGAATACTTATGTAAATGTGATATTTCAGGTTTTTTTTATTATTATAAATTAGCAAAAAAATCTAAAAACCTGCTTTTGCTTTCTCATTATGGGGTATTGTGTGTAGATTGATGAGAAAAAAAACAATTTAATCAATTTTAGAATAACGCTGTAACCTAACAAAATGTGGAAAAAGGGGTCTGAATCCTTTCCGAAGGCACTGTATGTTTGTATGTTTATATATATACATATATATTTTTTTTGTGTGTGTGTGTGTGTGTGTGTGTATATATATATCTATCAATTATCTTTTCTACATACTTTCTACATGTTTTTAGTTGTTTCCATATATTTTTTTATTTCATTTAAACAACGTTGTTTTCTTACCCTGTTTGGACTTAGGCGGCCCCCCCCAAAAAAACGGTAAGATGGCCCGCTCAAAGATTTCAATGGCAATAATATCCCTGACACCTTTATGACAATTGTGCACTAAGATCTGAATGAAACATTGAGTAAAGAATAAAATGAAGCCACAAAATAAGACCACTAACTATCCAGTTACTTTCATGTTTAGTGTTTATAAAAATAAAAAAAGCAGTGCAATAAGTTTTTCTTTTATTTTCTCAGATGGCCATGTGACTTTGCTGTCAATCACTCCGAGCCCCACAGTTCTAGGACCCGGTAGGGTTGTCAGATACCAGTACTGCGATACTCAAAGGTATCTTGGCAAGGAAACAAAACATGAAGCGGACAACATTTCCTGAGGAAAACAGTCCTAATGTTGGAAATAAGCAGCCTGATGTTGTCACCCAGAATCACATGTTTATTTTCCAAGCTATAGTACACTACATTTGACATAAAGCAGTTTTTTTTTTAAGGACCAAAGTGTTTAGTCTGCTTTCCGTTTTCCTATGGAAAATCTGGTATCTTAGTATCGTGATACCTACATTAAGCTCTGTCACAGTCGGACTGCAACGCCTCAAGGGGCAGAAGCAAGATGTTCTTAAGAAACGGCTTAAATTACCATACGGTAGGACCTCAGACATATGAACACGTCGGGAATGGAGGTCGATCGCTGATCAGAACACTGAAACGTTTAACCTTAAAATTCACTTAAACGGATCAAACCTCCATAATAAATATTGATTGCATGTTTACATGCATTTTAATTTAGGCCAAGACGAATACTGTAAATGTCTGATGTGTTTTAGCACACACAAGCAGCATTTACATTCAGGGCCTAAAATGTTATTTTTGGCCCACCAGCCACTGTGGCAGGTAGATATAAAAATCTACCAGACACAATTAAAAGAATTTTCGCTAAAATTACACCAACAAAACACAAAAAAACTGATGAGCATGCTCTGTAATAGCGTATTACTAGTAATAAGTAAAATGTGTTATATTATATAATTTAATTTTTTGTGACCTGAGTCTTTGAACATACATTTTCACTTGTCCCTTTAAGTGCGGGAGGTTACCGTGGTAACGCACCTCATTTGTGCCTGTGAGATTGAATCAGACTATTAGAAGCGTTGTCTTCTCTTCCCTAGCAGTTGAAACTCAAACATTGAAAAACAACCTACTTTTATGCCTGCTTCTAAAAATGAATCATTCACTCCACTCTTCACGTACTCACAGCCCCCAGCCAGGCAGTGCTGCAGCGTGAGATGGGGATAGGCTATATAGGATTAGTAGTTCTTTGACCTTGTGCGATTCATTTACCAGCTATGAAACAAAACGGCAAAAATACTTTGAAAACAGCTACTGTAGCATTTATTTTACTATAAATGTGATCATACTTGACTGTTTTTATTCACAAATGTGAGTGAAATGCTCATACCCTGACCACCCGCCAACGTCGCTGGTAAAATCGACATCTTACCCGCCAATGCCAAAATCGACCCGCATTTGGCAGGTGTTCATTTTAGGCTGTTTACATTTGTCTATCTGTAGCCTACAGAAGTCAGTTGTTTTGCGTTTAATATACGTCCCATTTCCATAGTCTGAAACTCTGAAATTCATATCTCTGTTGTCCTACTGCATATATAGGTATAGGTAAGAGAGCTGTACTTACGTCGTCGTTCTGCTGGGACTCCTGCATGATAAACTCTCGTACCATAGAGGGGTTGTACTCCACCAGATAGGAGAAGATATCGGTGGCTGCGCCACGCACCTGCACATCATCCATCCCCTGATGGCACGCGCACACACACAACATTCACGACAGTCACAGAAGACAATGGAATCGAATATGAAGGATCAGAACAGAGTAGAATAACACTGTAAAAGACAGCTAAGAAATACAAAGCAGTCTGAATTTATGAGTATAATATTCCATCAATGTAGATCTGAAAGAACTGTGTAGGTAATAGGTATAAGCAATATGGTCCACCTTGCCCTCAAATTGACGAGGTGGAATTTACACAAGTGCCTAGGGGTTATGAGGTAGGGGCTAGGGCTTGTGTGTGTGGGCACTCACCAGTATAACCTCTAGTGCAGGGAGAATGCCCATGTTCGACAGAGTCTTGAAGAAGGTGTCTCTGTTTTGAGGTTGTAATGTTTGTGAGAAGGCGCAGAACTCCTTAAGGAAGTTTACCTGTGGGGAAAACAATGCTTTGTGTTAGCCAATGACTAACTTACTAGGACCAGCCTAAGTAAGACGTTTTGGCATCATCCTCAATTATTTCATTTGCATGTCTCGTTTGCTATGTGTGTTTTTATGTTTGTTGTCTAATGCAGTCTCTCCCAATCCCAGTTCTGGGGGCGGACATTTTTGTTTTCGCCCTAGCACTAACACAGCTGATTCAATAATAATAATAATAATAATAATATGCCATTTAGCAGACGCTTTTATCCAAAGCGACTTACAGTCATGCGTGCATACATTTTTGTGTATGGGTGGTCCCGGGGATCGAACCCACTACCTTGGCGTTACAAGCGCCGTGCTCTACCAGCTGAGCTACAGAGGACCACCCAACTCAACTAAAGCAGAGGTTTCAAACTCAATCCATGGATGTCCGAGTGTCTGCTGGTATTTGTTATTTCCTTTCAATTCATGTCCAATTAAGACCTAGACAACCAGGTGACGGGAGTTCCTAACTAATCAATCACCTTAAATGATCGATCAAGTACAAGGGAAAACCTGCAAACTCTCCATGGAATGCGTTTGACACCCCTTAACTAAAGGCTTAATGATGAGTTGATTATTTGAATGAAGTGTGTGAGTGCTAGGGCAAAACAAACAATGTGCTGCATCCCCAGGACCAGGAAACATAAGTATGTGCATCTCTCCTTTCATGAACAATTCGATACGCATCTAGATACATGGGCTACGATACAGGAACGATACGTTTTACTTTTAAACGATTCGGTTTGATTAGGGGAACAAATTGATGCGATTTGGTTGGAAACAAATGCTTTTTGCATGAACCCATTCTTTTTTCCATTTGAAATGAATATCTGCTGCTGATGGGAGATCAGCAGCTGGATCTGTCTGAGATGACTTCTCTAATGCCGGGTGTACACTACACGACTTTCAAAATCCTAACATCGCTGAGCCTCTCACATTAAACGACCGTCATTCCTGTAGTTTCTTGTCTTGCCAACGTAGTGGTGTGCACACTAACCCCTCTGGGACAGACGGGGTGTCAAACACTACAACTCTTCACTTGGTCGTGAAGATTCTCCATACCACCACACTGTCTCGTGAAAACAATAACGTGATGTGATTCGATTGTTAACGTGGCTAAAACAGGCTGTGGCTCAAAGCAGCCTCAAAAAAGGTTTTCAGTCAGACATTCACGCTTGACATAGAGTTGAAATTTGTAGGCAACATTTTGAATTGAATAACATTGCAAATTTGACACTTTGGCTTTGGTTAAAGGCAAGTACAAAAGCACTACTAGTCATCACTCCTGCTCGAGTCTACACATTCTGGGTAATGCGAAACAACGTCAACTGGCTTCTTCTCTGGCGAGCTCTCATTGGCTATTGCTGATCACCGTTCTCAAAACATGTAGTGTGAGATGTGCAACCCAAGAACATTGCAGATTTTGTGCAGATAAAATCAAACAGGTTTGAAAATATCGGGACGTCTGGGACTGCTGAAAGACAAGATCGGTAGCCCTCTGATTGCGTCTCTGACCCGATCACATTAAACAAGTGTCAGTGACAGCCGCGTGTCCCGAGTTGGCAACGACTTGGGGAATTTGTATCCGATCTCAAAAAACGTGTCTGGCACAGCTAAATCAGGGACAAAAGTGTGTAGTGTACTTTCGGCTTAAGCTGCGTGGCCCTCAGTGTGCGTGTGTGTAGGCACCTTGAGCTGAGCCATAGGGCAGGCTGAGCATCTACCACCCCACTATCAGATATACCACCCCACTTTTTTTTGTTTTTATCTGAAATCACCATCACCCACTGATTAACTTAACATTTCTGCAGATGAAACATTTTGAGAGCTAGTACTATGTCCATATTTATCTTTAGAAATGTAACCAATTAATATAATGCAACTTTGGATTTTATCCCGTCTTTAACCCGGTCTGACCAATGAATGTGACCATGCACAGCTCATAGAAATTATTGATGTCCTTTATGAAATGACCAAATACACTGTTTAAAGCAGAACAAACAAAACTACTTCTTATGGTGAACCTGAACAATCTAAATCTTAATGATTGAAAACCCCAATCAGCAGTTGGATGTGAGTTGCGTCCACTCCGGTAGGCTACACAACCCTGGGAAAAAAAACTTTTTCTACAGCGCATTTGGTAATGGTAACAATGACTCAGCAAATTACATTGGTTGTCACTCAACTAATAAAGCCTATGATTTGACAATGCAAAAGCCATTTTACAAGCATCAATGCTGAAGGTGCCACGGAGACGTACGAATAGCCTAGAACAGGGATAGGCCTACCTCTCGTTGGGGTGAGCAGCTGTCTCCCGCACTGTGTGGCGTGCGCACAGTTGTTATCTGACAGTCGTATGCTGTTACATGCATAAAACTTTGATAGGCTAATGAACTGAAGGAGAGGACGCATCAATTCAGTCACAAGAGATAAGAGGTATTTTTGGAATAAAACAAGTAAAAACCATTACTTGACCGGCGATTCTTTACGTTTGAATCGGGATTGGGCTCCCGCAGACCGATACACATTTGAACTGTGGACCGACGCGTATCGGGTGAATCGTTACATCCCTAGAAACATAGGTCTAATAAACATATAAAAATGAAAGAATACAGGGTGTAAGGAAGGTGGTGATATTTGTAGTGTTGGTCAGGTAAACAAACAACAGTTGTGTTTGTGCTGCTGTCAGTTGGCGTACCAGTTCGTGTCTCTTGTCATCGTCTGTAGCCTCATCTGTGAGCTGTGCAAAGAGGTCAGTCAGGAACTTCTCATCGTCCTGACCGAGGGAGGAGAGAAAAAAGAAGAGAACATGAAAGATGAGATGGAGAATAACGGGATAAAGTTGCTCATGGACACTAAGCTGATCCTAGAGATGTGCCTATGAAGGCAATTTCTAGCTGTCGCTTGTGTCACTGCACTATAGCGTTCAATTTCAGACATTTTGGCAGTTGGTCTACTGATGTTTAGCTGTCCCACCATTCCCGACTCTAGGGTTGTTTCAGTAGGCACGAAACAGGAGAAAACATTTTGAAACAGGAGGTACTACCTGTCCTTGTTCAATCAGAACGCTCATGAATTTTCCATTGGAAAATGTTTTGCTTTTTGTGCCTTCTGAACACAACCCTGACTTGCAGGTGACAGACTGGCCAGGTCAGAGCCGTGAGAGGACATTCAAAACAGTAGCCTCTAGATAAAGGACCTTTATGAGAAGTCGTTATGACAACAGTTTTACCATGTTTCCTTTCAGTCAGACCTTCACATAGTGTGTACCTGTATCGTGTTAACCAGGGTCTTGTTAATTAAGGCACACAGCGGAAAACTGAGTTTTTCTTATTGGACATGCCCAGCTGGGGTCTTCCTGCTTCAGTCAGTTTTCTTCCATTTGGTTTCTGATGAACACGACCCATAGACGGATTGGCTGACAACGTCACGAAAATTATGTACGCACATCCATGGGGCCAGAAGCCGTGCTTTGTTATGATTCTGAATTGTCAGATGGCTAGCCAAAATTACAAGAAGCTGCCATGTGGGTAATCGTCGGTGGCTCGTTTCAGCTAGTTGTATCTTGTTCTTACTTTGAGGTGTTTTGACTGATTATGGCAATGCTAATATGGCAAAAAAAACACTAGCTAGCTAACCAACAACTGTAACAATTTATTTAAGAGACAAGCACCCATTGTGCAAACGTATACTGAACAAAAATATAAACGCAACATGCAACAATTTCAAAGATTTTACAGAGTTACAGTTCATATAAGGAAATCAGTCAATTGAAATAAATTCATTAGGTTCTAATATATGGATTTCACAGCTGGGAATACAGATATGCATCTGTTGGTCACAGATACCTTTTTTTTTAAATCAGAAAACCAGTCAGTATCTGGTGTGACCACCATTTTCCTCATGTAGCAAGACATCTTCACATAGAATTGATCAGGCTGTTGATTGTGGCATGTGGAATGTTGTCCCACTCCTCTTCAATGGCTGTGCGAAGTTGCTGGATACATATTGTCTGCGGCTGTGAGGCCGGTTGGACATACTGCCAAATTCTCTGAAACGACGTTGGAGGTGGCTTATGGTAGAGAAATTAACATTCAATTATCTTGCAACAGCTCTGGTGGACATTCCTGCAGTCAGCATGCCAATTGCGCACTCCCTCAAAACTTGAGACATCTGTGGCATTGTGTTGTGTGACAAAACTGCACATTAGAGTGGTATTTTATTGTCCCCAACACAAGGTGCACCTGTGTAACGACCATGCGGTTTAAGCAGCTTGTTAATATGCCACACCTGTCAGGTGGATGGATTATTTTGGCAAAGGAGAAATGCTCACTAACAGGGATGCAAAAACGGTACAGAAATTGAGAGAAATAAGCTTTTTGTGCAAATGGAATATTTCTCGGATCTTTTATTTCAGCTCATGAAACATGGGACCAACACTTTACATGTTCCGTTTATATTTTTGTTTAGTGCATTAATATTTTCAGTAAACATTGGAGACAAAAGATAGTTTATATCAGTGGTCACCAACAGGTCGATCTCTAAGGCATTCCTAGTCGATCACCAAACATTTCTGTTATAATCCTCAACGATAAAGCCTTGCGTTCCTTATTTTTTTTCTTCGTAGTTGGCGGTAGGTGTACTTGATTAGCAGCCCTTGCACGGGAAGGCAAAGTGTTCCCATTTTTAACAATGTTATGTGTCTGAAGGTAGAAAATCAAGTGGACCTATAGGCCTACCGCTGGCCAATCAGATAACCGTGTCTGCAGTTTTTCCTCAAGCCATAGACTGTAAAAAGAAGCCTTGGATGCACAGCAAAGTTGACACTGTGATATTTAAAAACCTTTAAAACCATGACTAGAGAGACTCAACGAATACAGCAAAGAGCTGCTGTTTTTATTTGTAAATTCATGTTTAAGTTATTATTCAGCACTGTCGACACTTTCATAAGGCATAAAATGCACCTTCTCCCTACTTCCACATGCTACAACCAGCACTGCAGCTGCAATTAATGAGTATAGCAAAGTGTTCCGATAAAGCTTGCGTTGTTTTTATTACCAGCTTGTCTTTTTTAATATCGAGGAATATTTCACTTTCTCTGGTCATAGGAGTAACATGAATTGGTGCATGAGGCAGAAATAATGCAGTGCGACTTGAGTTTTGTGATCAGCTGGAAGACTGTGTCCCCTTTGAAAGTGCCTTTGCTCAGCGGAGGGACGGTGAGTCTGGTGAGAGGCAGCCTCAACGCTGCTCCTTCCCTTCCTCCTCTTAGACTGACCATCAGATGCAGGCCATCAGTCCAGTAAAAAAAAAAAGCTAATCATTATGTTTACTTAGTTGTGCCTCACAAGTAATACAACAAATTATCTATTAACAGTGTGATCATATACCAACATTTTTTAAATATTATTTCAAAATGGTCTGAGAAGAACATTGGCAGGCCAATTCAAGCATACCCAATATGCAGTAATGTATTGGGCCTATAGCCTACTGCACAAACCTCATTGCTACAGAACTGTTTTTAATTGGTTAATGTTGCATAGGCTTATGTTTTTAATTCATGTTTTGAGCGGTAGATCTCGGCTTGCATTTTGACTCAGAAAGTGATCTTGACTTGGTTGGTAAACCAGTGGTTGGTGACAACTGGTTTACATGTTGTCAACAATCTGAACCAACCCAGTCTGTTTTGCCCCATAGTTGCGCACACATCGGTTTTGTTGCAAAACAACCAACCCGTCTATGTGTCGGTTTCCATCACGCAGCGTAACCAAATATTTTTTATAAGTAACCCAAGATAGACCACCACCAGTCGTTTCCAATGGGAGCAAATTAATCAGTGAGAAGAACAAGCAAGGTGGTGGGCAGAGCCAAGCACGAGCTAGCGAGATCCTATTGGCGCAGTCTAGCTTGTATTTGCATATTTCCGTTAAGGAACGCCTACTCTGAAGTGTGCAAGTGCAATAACTCAATTGGCCCTTGCACTTCTAAACAACGCACATTTTGTAAAACTTTAAAAGTCTACAAAACGTAGTCCACTTTGTTCGTAACAGATTCTAGTTTTGGGAACAGAAAACTGTATTGAGATCAAATGTTTCATTGATGAGAAAATTAGCAGAATATCGGAAAAATTCATCTTGCTCCATCTTCTCCCACTGCCGGCCACTGGGCTTCCTCTCATCACCATATTTGGTGGTGAGTGGAAATGCCAACCGGATGCTTCAGATTTATACATCCAGTGAAACATCTGGCTCATTGTTCTATCTGTGGCGTAACTCATTTACCAAACACTCTTCCGTTTCCACAGATGGCTCTACACAAACACATTTGGAAAGAAACAGCGCCCCTTGTGTACACTGACGGTGATAACATATACCCCAGTACGGTACAGGAACAGAATGAAAATCTGGATACCACCCAACCCTACTTGCATGTGTATTCTACTATGTGTGCGTTCCCTACGCCCCAGACCTCACCTGCAGCATACCCACAATCTCCACCTTGTTGAAGAAGATGAACGAGTGCAGTGTGGAGAGCATGTTCTCCTCGAACACCGACGGTGTGGGCAGCACCATGTCCTGGATGTACTGCACGCGGTACGTCTGGTGGATCTTGGCCCGCAGCTCGGGGTCACCGATGGGGATGACCTCCTTAAAGCGCGCCGTCTTGGTGAGGAAGTCACGGTGGCGCCGCGGCAACCCCCCCAGCGCAGGGTCGTGCTCCAGGCAGCCAATCACATCCATGATGCACTCCTCAGAGAACATGACCTCGAAGAGGGCCGTGCGGTTCAGCAGGAAGATGCCCTTGACGATCTCGTAGAGGTGGTGGAGGCCGTCAGCGTTCTCCAGGTCCTCGCACTGGCGGAAGAGCTCCAGGAGCTTGCGGATGTAGCCCTCATTCTCCACGGCCAGGGCGAGTTTCTCGCGGCGTAAGGGGGAGGGGAGGGAGGAGGCAACGAGTTCGGCGAGCTCCTCAAGGTGGCCCAGCTCGCAGGGAGGGAGCTCGAGGCCTGGGGAGGACATGTCGTCAAAGCGCTCCTCCTCCGACTCGTCCACCAGCTCTTGTGTGATGTCCACTGATGGGTCCTTGCCCTGGACCTGGTGGAGATGGTGAAGACAGGGAGACAGACAGAGAAGTCAAAAATCACATGCACAAACCAATGAGTTATAACAACACAACATGGGGGAGAGAGAACAGAGAGACACGAGCCAAAACACAATGCATGAAGAAATTAGTTAAACAAGAACAAGCATGATCCTACTTTTAAACCATACTTTGATTTTCAAAATCAAAGTATCTGCTGTCACTTTGTCAAGTGAGAGCTAACCTATTTTACTTCATTATTTGGGGATTTGGGGCTTCTAGGCACAAGACAGAGTTGAGCATGTTTCACCTTGAACTTATAAATACACTTAATTTACACACAAACAAACACACACAGGAATATAAGTTACCAACCTGACAGATTTTCTCCCAGATCTCATCGCAGCCGGCCTTTTCCTGGAAGCTGAGGGCCAGGTCATAGTTCTCAGCCTCCGACCACACTATCAACGTGTCCTGAAGGGAAAAAAACACTAGTCACGTGTTCATTAGGGCATGCAGTGTCTGAAAACGCAAAACAGACATTTCTTACGGGACCAGGTCCGGGAAAATAATCCCAGTTTCAGTCCGGTTTCTTCCGTTTGGTGCCCAATGAACACAGCCCAGGTCATAGACCACATTATGCTAACATTCAAGTGTCTTCATCAAGCAAGTGACTGACCTGTTGTTTCTGGTAGGCTGTGTTTGGGTTGATTTTTGACTCGAGCAGTAGGGAACCTGTGGGATGAGAAAAAACACAGTAAGTTATTACACTAACAACGAACATCCGGTTTCGCAGTTTGCACAAAGACTTTGAAAGCGGAGGCAGCTTACTGCTGTAACAGGACAGTAGAGGCACTAAATTGGGAGTTGTGTATCTCGGCGCCTCTTTGGGAGGCTGTGAGGACAGTGTGGTTATGTAATGCCGCATTCAAAACAACTGAGACCTCAGAAAAAACGAGTTCCCACTGGGAACACTCGATTTGAACAGTCATCCAACTTGGAATCCCAACTCGGGAACTCAGGCCTTTTTCTAGAGCTCCGACTTTCCACCCTGAAGATCACTGACTTCATGATTTTACATCGTATTTCTCAGAGTTCACAATTGTTTTCAACAAGGCACAAGTGCAAGGCGATGACAGACTTCTTGGACTGAGCAATGTTTACAACAGCGGGCTGGCTCAATACAACTGTGGAGGAAAGAGATGGGGGACATTCCATGATCCCATCTAGCTATGTTTTTTGGTCTTTCAGTGCACATTATGGGGATTCAGGGTTAGTGCCTTGTATATGACCTCAAGGACTTAGTGGACCACCCACTCACTAGATAAAGGCTCCTTTTTTGACAGTCTTCATAATAGTACACAAAACTATCCTAAATGTCCACAAAAACTATATAAACGTTAGTTTGTTTACTGCTAGCTAGTTAGGTGTTATCAACAACATAATGATTCATGAAATGATCAGAACAAAGAGTTTCAATCAATGGTTGTGAGTATTAGAGTAGTAACAATACTTATACCTGACTCACCATCGCTCTCCGCTCGCACCAGCAGAGACATGCCTTTCAGCCTCTCCACATAACCAGAGGAGACGTGTCCCGTGCCGCGGTCGTCCCATTGTCTGTCCTCGTTAAGAGTATAAACTTTGACTCGGCGGCGGGTATCCGTCATCTTGGCAGGTGGTCGTGACCGCTTTCCCCCGCGCCGCAACTCTACCGACTGCCTTGTATGAGGATAACTAGATCCACTTTCAAACAGTAGCTAGATTACTTAGGTTTGGCTGTTCGCTAATTGTAACTTCCTACAGATAACTAACTGGCTTCCACAAAACATGTCTTGCGCAGACTAGAAATGCACGACGCGTCAATTCGCGCTGTTTAACAGACTTGCTAGTTTTCCTAGTGCTAGTTAGGTACGCATTCTCCCTCAGAAATGATATAAACAGTACAATCAGACTAACTAATACGTATGACGACAATGTTTCAATTGGAAACATTCAGGTAAGTTCACCAGGCTATATCCTCTGACTTCAGCTACAGTGAGATGATTGCTGTATACTAGCTATTGTAACGGACTAGCTAGCTACCTAGCAAGTTAGCTAGCCAGTCGGCTAACTGCCTAGCTACATTAAACATCTTATGAAAACAGTAAATTGTTAAATAGCGACAAATACCATGCATCGGTTACATTATTGCCCGTTTACCATCAGTGTCGTTCAATATAGCCCCCGACGTTTCTGATCAGCTAGCTATGTGTCTCTTGATAATACGCTAGCTAACGTTAGCTGCTAGCTACTTCTTTCCCAAGTGTTCCGCCATGTTCTGGCTCTGGGCCTCCGAGAGACCAGTCTCTGTCCTTACGAGGTATTCTTGTATTCTAAAATTAGGCAGATCAACCAGCTGTAATCGTATAACTCCCTCAATGTTATGTTTCACATACTAAAGTTATTTACCATTAATTTCCATCATATTGCTTAGATCATTGCTAACTACCCCCCCTGTGTGCATTCAGCCATCTTGGGGTCCCTTCAGAAAGTCAGTACGGGGTTTCCAGCACAGCAACAGGGCAGCCTGCCACATTTTAAAGCAACAGTACAGTTTTCAAAAGATGAAGACGAGCATCACTTGGTGCAAAAGACAGAATATGAAGAAATAAACAGCTAATGGTAAGGAATCATAACTACTACATATACCCAGTAAGTAATAGGACAATATTAAACATTGTAAGATAATATTTTCAGGTTCAGGTTCCCCTGGAGAATGTCATTTTTCATCCTCTGGTAGTTTACCAAAGGAAATCTGTTCCTCCATCTCTCAATTCATTTGTGAATCTTCAATGCACTTGTTCTCATCTTCTCAGTAAATAAGCATAGGTGCACTCATACCGTAGTGTATTGATATGCTTTCAGTAAAACACACTCCAAATAAAATCTGAAAAGAATAGTTTATTTCCTGTATTCAGAGAAAATAAACATAATTACTGGAGAAAACATGAACAGATGTCAGACAAATACCAAATAAAGTTTACAAAAACAGGATTTCACAGGTCTTAAATAAAAATTATGGTAGTAAGAGGTGCAAATATGGAAAATAAATCCGACAACTCACCCTAAATTAATAATCAGCATTTCAGGACAATCATTTGTCAGATGTTATAAAATGAACAAATTACACCCTTATCGGACACCATCAGTGGCGTGTTTCAATTAAACTCTCGCTTACTTTTATAAAAACAAAGCAAATAGTCACATTCCTCATAACCCTCTTCCTTGAACAGAAATTAACGTTTATTGAAAGACAAACAATAACGATACAAAAATAGTTGTCCTGTTTTTAGTTCCTGTATCCTTGTTTGTCTAGTTTCTTTTGTTCAATAGACCCATCTTTACCAATAAATTAGTCCTTCCATCAAATAGCCACTCCCACAAAGAATAGACCCAAACAAATCATAGGCTTGTCTCCCCACCCCCAGATCACTGTCGCTGTTCGAATACTTTCCTCCCTTCTTTGGACTAATCACTTATCGGATTCAGTTGAATTGGTGAAAGCAAAATGGTTGATAACCTTGCTCTCATCTATCCAATCACTTCTAGATCTGTGATTATCTCAAGGGAGGGTGAATGCACTGTGTGTATTCGAAAAGGGCCACTGTCCCCCTCACTATACAGCCTCTACCAAAAAGCCAAGGCCCACCCCTGGTGCAGGATTAAGTTGCCCCTATGTACTGGTCTCGAATCAGTTTGGGCTTTTTACTTCCTAGTGGTTTTTACTTCAGGGTGGAGTAAACTGATCCTAGATCTGTGCAAAGGAGACAACCTCTCGGCTCCTTCCCTTCCTGCCTTTACTTCCCAGCTTGTTGGGCTTGACGCCGCAGCAGCACGTAGATCTTCTCCTTGATCCAGTCTTTGTTGTACGGCTGGTACGTCTGAGTGTCCGCCCGGTACCTGGATAGAGTAGGAGGTTCGTATGAAAAATGTATGCACTCACTAACTGTAAGTCGCTCTGGATAAGAGCGTCTGCTAAATGATTAAAATGTAAAAATTTTCGTATTCATTAGACACCAAAAGCAAGAAAAAAGACAAACTTGGGAGGAAACACCTGGAGTGTATTCACTAGGGAATGGGGAGGGACCTACCTTAATTTGTTCAATAGAAACTCTCAACTGTTTGAAACAGTTTGGACTAATGATTACACCCATTGAATTGTCCAATAAGAAACACTAGTTTTCTATTGCAAGACATTTTGAATATGACCCAGGAGAGACATGTCATGAACATAACTTTCTCTCATTAGATCAAGCCTTGGGGTCAAATAGCCTACTAGACCTCATTATTACTGGGGTGAAAACAGAAGGCAATTCTTAGTCCAAATCCAAAATTGACCCCTAGCCCCCTAAACCTTGGCCACTTTTGACAGCTCCTCAGAGCTGTGAAATGACAGGATAGAACAGGGTCGTATTCACTAGGAACTAAATGGGGAGGGATTACCTGTAAAGGCTTGTATTCATTTTACATTGCAAAACGTTTTGCTACAGTGTGGACTAATGAATACAATCCTGCAGTATAGTATTAGCTCCACTTAGCCCTCTGGTAAGCAAGGTGGAGTTTAGGCTACTGGGCTACACCATTAGGTGTAGCATGCTAGCTGTTCCTGTAGACTTCCAGTCATTGCACTAACGCTAATTAGCAATGGCTCCAGAAACTACCTTCAACTTCCTCTGCACGCAGAGACATAAAAATGGTATCCATGAGTTCATCTGACTCTGGGTAAGTAGAAAAAGGGTAAGTAGAAAAATGCTAAAATGTTGCACTATCCCTTTAACGGTGAGGTTGTACAGTACTACTTACACTAGACAGCTGAGGTCGGCCAAGTCGTCAATGAAGTCAAACAGCTGGCTGATGTCATAGGTAATGGAGGGACTGTTGGGGTTCATCCTCTTCAGGTGCTCCTCGTACATTTTACACACACCTGGATTAGGAGGGACACAGGGTGAGACATAGAACTGCAACGTGTGAAAATACTTAAGTTAAGGACAAAACACCACGGCGACAAACTATTAAACTCAACGGGTGGCTGCACGATCGCCTGCTGGGTGCCGACGAACGGTGGCGTTGTAGAATGTCAACATGTAGGTAAGGGATCATCAACTAGATTCTGTAGCAAGCCAATTCCTTTCTTGAGCGGATGGTCAGGAGGCCGGGAACATAATATAAAATCATTTGTAGACTGCAAATTGACCGCAAGAAGCCCAAACATATAATATTTGACTAAAACAATCATTTCAAACCGTGCTTACATCTGTATACGATCACATATCTCTTATGCGTGGGAATACTTTGGAACAGATTTCCAAAAGAAAACATTTAATGTATTTTAATTTTATTTTTGCTGATAAAACTTGTTGGGCCAAATCTGCGGGCAGCCAGTTGGGGAACCCTGATGTAGATGTCTGGTCAGAGTCGATTAGACGGCCACCTGCTACTTTTAACCGTTTGTTGGCACAGTGCGCTTAATTTTTTACACTAGGGTCGTGTTCAATAGGGCACACTGTAGCAAAATGGCGACGTTAGCTAGCTAAGCTCATGCGCAGAAACACGTCATCTGGTCTAACGGTTGAGTCGCGCAGGTCGTCAAATCAAAGGCTACATTTGCTATAATGTAGTTTTTGATGAAAATGAAAAAGTGTCAGTTTGTCATTTTCGTGAGGTTGTAGTAATGACATGCTCAGCTACATAAGACATTGGCTCAAATCTAGGTTGTGCCTTTAGATTGAGAAAACTAACAACTAAGGACACATTCACTTCTCCCATCTACTTCCCAAACCACGGTCTGGTTTGTGGAGTCTGCTTCTCGAGACATTCCCGGAAGTATTAGCCTGTTGGAACCCTGGTTTTAAAAACTCTGTTGCACTCTGTCTGTAGATTGACTCTCACCCTCCATGCATTCGTTGACTGACTCGTAGTCGGCATATGTTCTCCCCTCTGGTCTCTTTGTTGGCTGGACAAGCAGAATTGTGTGTGACTGCAAAGCAGAGAAACAAGAACAATTGTCACAGACTAGGGCTGACCCCAATTAGTCTACTGGTTGATTGTTTGGTCGTTCGGCTGTTTGTCGACCGAGATTGTTTTAGAGGCTTCATATGGAGGGTGTGACGCAATTGCGGAGCCTCCAGAGGCATGAAGAGGCCAAATCGAGCTCTGTACCGGATCACCACGCGCCTCCCAAATTTTGTAACAATGCGGAGGGCTCTGTGTAGCTCCGCATTGACATGATTGGTTGACAGTAGGTGGGGGCGGTACATCCTGTATAAACACAAACTCACTTCCTTGACAACAGCTCTGCGCAATAATTATGAATGCCCTGACTTCTGCCGAGTCCATTCTTGCCCTGACTTCTGCGGAGGCCATATCACTGTAAATGCTGCATGGCCAATGCAGACGATCGGTTGATCATGTGCCCAGATGCACAACGCACTTCTCTCTCCAGAATGCGCTCTCCCGCAAATTTGTGCACATTCATTGTTTCATAAATTCAGTGTGAATTGTTTGCGTTTGATTGTTAGTGTATATCAATTCCCCATTACATATATCACCAGTAGTACATTTACCGTTAATTCCTATAATCTCTAATCTACAATGTTTCTTACTTTGGTTGCTGTCATTTAATATTATT